AACAAGAGAGTATTATATAGGAGAGGGCTGTGTAAAACTAGAGAGTATTATATAAGAGAGGGCTGTATAAAACAAGAGAGTATTATATAAGACAGGGCTGTATAAAATTAGAGAGTATTATATAAGACAGGGTTGTATAAAACAAGAGAATATTATATAAGAGAGGGCTGTATAAAATTAGAGAGTATTATATAAGACAGGGCTGTATAAAACAAGAGAGTATTATATAAGACAGGGCTGTATAAAACAAGAGAATATTATATAAGACAGGGCTGTATAAAATTAGAGAGTATTATATAAGACAGGGCTGTATAAAACAAGAGAGTATTATATAAGAGAGGGCTGTATAAAATTAGAGAGTATTATATAAGAGAGGGCTGTATAAAACTAGAGAGTATTATATAGGAGAGGACTGTATAAAACAAGAGAGTATTATATAAGAGAGGGCTGTATAAAACTAGCGAGTATTATATAAGAGAGGGTTGTGTAAAACTAGAGAGTATTATATAAGAGAGGGCTGTGTAAAACTAGAGAGTATTATATAAGAGAGGGCTGTGTAAAACTAGAGAGTATTATATAAGAGAGGACTGTATAAAACAAGAGAGTATTATATAAGAGAGGGTTGTGTAAAACTAGAGAGTATTATATAAGAGAGGGCTGTATAAAACAAGAGAGTATTATATAAGAGAGGGCTGTGTAAAACGAGGGAGTATTATATATGAGAGGGTTGTGTAAAACAAGATAGTATCATATAAGTATGGAAGCTGGCTGCGGCCATATCTACTCTCGACTTCTCGCCCACGAGAATGCGAGGAAACTCGACTTCTCGCCCACGAGAAAGCGAGGAAAAAGGTGAGGAAAAATGTACACATTTATCTTGTTAAAAAGAATATAAAAAAAGGAAACCGAGTTTAATTGGTCCATATATAAGCCCTACAGACTCACAAAAACAGTTTTTTAACAATGTGTTCCGGTCCGGTTTTTCAAAAGTTTTTATGTTTGATAGGCTATTTTTAATAGAAGAATAGTGAAGATATTCGATAACAATATAAATACTCTTTCCTTTCAAATTACACACTAAGTTATACGTCCTGTGCCTGTGCTTTCGTAACTTTGTCATTAGTACCAAATTACAACCTATACACCCTAAGATTTATATTTGGTTGAAAACTAAATTCCAGATCATGTTTAACATGGCATAAGACGTCAGTTGATAGGCATATTCAATATTTCATTATAAATGAATACTTATTTCATTGATAAATCGAATCCAATGACCATAGTTATATTATATAATAGAAAAGGAGACGCATTTGTTTGTTGTACATCCCATTTCGTAAACATATAAATACAATTTTTATTCTTTAAACAAAATCGACTTAAAGCTAGATTCTCATTCGATTATCAATAATGTGAACGGACCGACCAACATGGTTACCGATTTTAAATACAAAATGCAAAATACCATATGCATAGAACAAAAGTAGAACTCGTTATTTTCAACTGTAGTTAATAGCTTTTCATCGTATCTTGAATACGAATTTTAACATGGTCTTATTAACCTATATCAAACTAAGATTGCTACACGTTTGTGGGTGTGAAAATAAAATTGTTGTTATTTAAATATGAAAAATCAGACCGCAGTTGAGGGAGAACGGAAATGGAAGTGAAATGAATGGAGTTTTACGTCCTATTTAAAACGTAAATGAAGGTCATGTAAACAAGACACAAAGCTAATTTGCCGCCATCCGTTTGAAGAGTTAAGGACACATTGTTTCCAGATACTGAATTTTCCAAAGGTAGGTTTAGGTTTTGATTTTCAATAAAAACTGTAAAACCTGTCCTATTTTAAACTCCCAAACTATTTCACTGACAAATAAAACATGTTTTATATGGAAGGCGGATTGGCTTTTTATTCAATGTTCTTCTTTGCTAGATCTTAAATTTTATAATTCTAAATTCTTATCTTTTGATTTGTACGCTAGATTCAACATTTGTCATAGAAAATTGAGATTTGTAAAGTAAAATTTGAAAAACGACATTATTCGAATTTAATAATTCGACTCAGTATGAATTGAATAAAATGGAGGCCAATCTATCAAATTAAAGCGTAATTTGGATGGAAATATTTTCTCTTCCTGTAGTTTCAGGGCAGGCTTGCACACAGTGCTGCTTCAGTTTACAATAAAACAAAGACAAGTTTAGACTCAACCATACAGTCAATTACACAATGGCTAACATCAACAACACCATGGAGATAATTCTACGTTATATTTCCAAGATATACCTTTCGATGACACAAATGATTTTAGTTCAGCGCTTTTAAAGGTTTTAATATTATCCGAAATTACAAAAGACGGAACCTCTGCGACCAATAAAGCGTTTTAAGGAACTAACAAATGTTGCAGAGCTGGCATCCGGTGTTAAGTCTAAATGAAGTGCTCTGGAGCTCGCACATGTATATAACATGATATAGACCTTATTCATATCACCAGAATCACTGTCAATATTTTTTACATATAAAGGTCCAGCGTAGTCTACTCCTATACTATTGAATGCGAAATCATCACTGACTTGAAAACTTGGCAAGGGTGGTGCGTGCGGGACACAATACGATCAACCTTCTAATCGTTCACAAATGTTACGTTTAGATAAGATCTTTTTGACAATTTAACGGCCTTTGACAATCCTAAATTTCGATCTCACGTGCGCCGAGGTTCCGTTATGCGTAACATAAGCATGAGCTTTTAGAATTACTAGTTTAATGAATTGATAATCACTCGGCAACAAGATCGGACAATTAGTTTCATAAGTCAATTTATTTTCCATTCGTCCACGACAACGAGAAATTGAGCAATTTCTTGGTTTCTCTAAAGTTTGGCTTTGCCTTTGATTCCGATTGGAATAATTTTTCATTTGAAATTTCGTTAAGTGTTTTATTTTATTGGCTCAATTTCAAATTTCTCACAAAACGCAATAAAAGAGAGAGCGGTTATACGTAACCATTTCTAAAGTCTACTGTATGTTTCTATGGCAATGATTTCTTAGAGTTTCAAATTCTTACTGAAAGTGACTGACTGTACTCACTTGGCTGGACTTTAATTCGACTGTTACATCGACTGGTAATTCTGGCTTATTTTGAGTCGGCCATTGACTCTCTGGCAACAATATAAAGTCCGTTTCACCATTTCTGGTTATTAATTTATTCAGATGGAGTTGCTCCTCTGGAACAAATATCAGCTGGGGTTAGGGATGTATAGGACAATAATTCCACATTTCAGTTGGACTAATTCTCCAGATCTCAAATACGCGATTCTGAACAAACTGTTTGTATTCTGTGGTGGTATTACGTATCCAACTAAGTGTTACTTGTAAGTCAGACCTATAAACTACTCGCTTATGACCAAGATACCATCAACAGATTTCTCGATACTCTCGCAAGATGTACTGAAACTAAACAGGCTAAAAATTCCAACCTCGGCATGGTTTGTGTGGTTAAAGGCGAACTCTAGTCTCTAGGATGCTATTAAGGTACTGTAGATTTGTTCTCCGTTTCGACATTTCATGTAGATGCAGATTCCATATGCATTCTCAGATTCATCTCCAAAGGTATGTAATTCAATTTCAGCTTCATCAGTAAATAAATCAGGGCAATAACATCTAGGAATTAATATTTGATTCACCTTCTGTAAATCTGTTAATCAGGATTTCCATTTCATACACAGTTCATCATCGAGAGAATCGTCCTAATTCAAATTCTCTTGACAAATTCAATTTAAAATTGAGTACAATTGGCGATAATAATCCAACGGAATCATAGAATGTTGCGGCGATACTCAAAACTAGTCTCTTTGTAATGTCTATTGTTTTAATGGCAGGTGTTATCTTTTTAAAGTCAAATAAAAATTCACCTGACTGAGTATTCCATGATATTCCAAGTACTTTAGGACTGTTATCTTAATTAGCCTTGGTCGTCTCCAGCGATAAATCCGTTTTCAATCTTTGATTCGGTAAATTCAACATTGTTATTTATCATATTTAACAGTTCACTAGAATTACTGTTCCATTTCCAAAGATTAAAACCACCTTCAAGTATTGCCAATTTAACCTTTTTAGCCTGGTCGAAAACAGTTTGTACACAATTAAAACCTGACGCATAATCACCTACATATAACGATTTCAATGTATCTTCAAGAAAGTCTTAGTCAGTTCCTTCAAATAAACTCAAATAGTGACGCAAAATTGCGTTTAAAAGATAATGGCTTGATGTTAGTCCGAATACTACACGCGTAAATCTATAAATGTTTATATTTGGATTAGGTTTAGACAGTTGATCTACCCAAAGAAATCTCAGGTTATCACGATGATCTTCTTGGAAATATTCAGAAAAGCTTTCTCTATGTCGGCGATTACTGCTATATTATTTAAACGGAATCTCACCAGGATATCAAATATTAAGGGTGTTAGTGGCGGGACTGAATTCAAACTTGGACTTTGAGGGTTAACTTTAGCTGAGGCGTCATAAACGAGTCTAGTTTTTGTTTTATCTTTATCAAATCGAATTACTTCATAATGCGGTAAATAATGGTGACTCTCTACATTTGGTGTGGTTTCCTCTTCTACTCGCTCTATAACTCCTTCTTTCAGTTGATCTTTAATAATCCTATTGTATTGTGTAAAACGTTTGGTTTCAATTGTAGACAACGTAGGAGATTACTTAGACGTTTATGGCTTATCAAGAAATTATCAGGTAAAAGTGGGTGCTCTTCTTTAAACGGTAAGGTTAAATTCTTTAGATAAATAGATGACGATGTTCATAGAATTTTCTCAATGAAATTAAGAGTTCTGATTGGTTGATTTTATAACAGTGATATGATCTAACTTAGAAGCTAACGAATAAAAAGGTATCCAATTATTCAATCAGCTTTCTGAATCAGATTTTACTTTTCTTTTTTAGTTCTGTAGATTTTTATAATTTTTTAGGATTGTTCTCTCAACTGTAATTTTTTTTATGTTTATTATGAAGAGAGAAGAAGTGTTGATTTATCTCGACTTTATGAAGAATTCTACATTTTAACAATGTTGATACAAAAGTCTCACAAGGTTCAATATAGTCATTGGCTTTCGTTTAGAATTTTGATATTAATGTATTAGAACTTTGTCCCCTGAACCAGTGCTTTTTATACGCCCACACGTAAGATGGGCGTATATTGTAATCACCCCGTCGGTCCGTCCGTTCACATTTGGCTCGTGCTCACTCTACAGGCTACAGTTCTTTATGGATTCTTTTAATTTTTATTTTGTGTGTCAATGTTGTTATGAAGATGATCCCTAATGATTTTCATGATGATCGGATAATTTTTCACCGAAATATCGTGTCTGACTTGACGTTTTTCTCTATTAGCTATATTGTGCAACTCGTGCTCACTCTACAGGCTACAATTGTTTACAGATTCTTTTGATTTTTATTTTGTATGTCAATGTCATTATGAAGATGATCCCTATCGATTTTCGCGATGATCGGATAATATTTCACCGAAATATCGTGTCTGACTTGACGTTTCACTCTATTAGCTATATTGTGCAACTCGTGCTCACTCTACAGGCTACAATTGTTTACAGATTCTTTTGATTTTTATTTTGTATGTCAATGTCATTATGAAGATGATCCCTATCGATTTTCGCGATGATCGGATAATATTTCACCGAAATATCGTGTCTGACTTGACGTTTCACTCTATTAGCTATATTGTGCAACCCTGTAGTCACTAAAGACTGTTTAATCATTTCTGACAGCTGCCAGTGGGCGTATGTTACCTTGCCTGGCAAGCTAATTTTTTGTTTCATTTTTGCCAGG